AAATTATTCTTCTGTTCTCATGAGCATTGAAATTTATCTCACTCACTAGCGGGAACCATTGCGAATACATTGATATATAATAATATTCAATTATGTTAGTTTCTTCGATGATTTGTGTCCTCATCTGAAGCTCTGTTACACGGTAAAAATATACATACTAAATCGCCCCCTTAATAGAATATTCAACGTCTATCAAATCAAGTCTTCTGTAGCAATTAATAAATATAGAAATGTTGATTTAAAAATAATCACTATAAAAAAACACCATCATAGATAATACTAAACAAACATTTAAATATATTTTAATATTCTTCATGGATTGTGACATATTATAATTTTATTTAAATGTCTCCTTTCTAAATACATTTCCTCTTTATTTTTTACTAGAACCGAAATGAGCACCAACATTGACAGATGGCGTTATTTCAGCTAATGCATACTCGTAGGGTTTCAACAACACTTGATTTGATGTTTCGCTTCACCGAAAATTCGTCACGTTGATCTTTTTTGGCGAGCAAGTATCCCGCCATTTCATTTTTCATCAGGATCGGTCATTAAATGTATATTGGTCCATAAACAAAATTACAGCAAGGCAAAGCAATAAACCCCATCGAGAGCAAACGGGCCGAGGGCGGACATACCTTTCCAAGTACTTTAATAGCTGCGTTTATCACATATTTAAACAACGTCCAATACGTCCCGAGTTGGAAAACAGCATTCAAAGTTCCAATCACGTAATCTATTCTAATCCAATTTTCTGTATTTAGCCCGGCGGGTGAGTATTAGTTTTCCCGGACATTTTCTCTGCTGCTTCGATTTTACAATGCTTTTCGAATGCTGTCTTTAAGGGAGGAGGAAGATAGACCTTATTGTTATCAAGTCATACAAGGCAACATAATTGTTAATTACTAGGCATATGGTTATTAGTATTTATAGTACTATAGGGATTCAATTTTTTTTTCGGATAATACACAGCCACAAAAAAAATTTGTCTTTACTTTTCATGCGACATATGTTATCCGTAGTATTTTTACCTCCTGATCGCGAATCCGGTTTCAAAATCGAGCTATCACATCACAGGAATTTCTTAACCTCAAAAAACAGGTAAAAAATTGCAAAAATTCACGAAAAAGTGCTAGGAAAAGTAGAAACATTTTTTTTCTATATTCAAATGTTCATTTATAAGGTTAAGACCCCATCGAACGTGAATCCGCGGTCGGAATTGATGGTTCTTTTTCTAACCTAAAAAAACGGCTCAGACATCACGAATTTTAAAAAATTTACAGATTCGCGCCAAATTTGGTATACGGGGGTTTTCCGGGTCGCTCATCACGGATCCAAGGTCAATTTTGCAAAATTCAAGATGGTGGATCCAAGATTGCCGACCAAATTTTCAGAAAATAATAGATTCGCGCCAAATTTGGTATACGGGGTTTTCGGGGTTACTGATCACGAATCTGACAAAATTGGTTTTTAAAAATTTAATCTATTACCTATGTACTTTAAAAAGGTTAAAACATGATTGGGTACTCAGGTTAGAAAGTAAACAAAAATAATACAAAATGAATTTAGCAATTCTGACCTCGGATCCGTGATCAGCGACCCCGAAAACCCCCGTGTACTAAATTTGGCACGAATGTTATTTTTTTAAATTTGTTCGGCCATCTTTGATCCGCCATCTTGAATTTTGCAAAATTGACCTCGGATTTGTGATTAGCGACCCCAAAAACCCCCTATACCAAAGTTGGCGTATTTTTTGAAAATTTGTGATATCTGACTGTAATTGACCTGTTTTTTTTTTTTGAGTTTAGAACCTGTTTTTTGAGGATAGGAAATTCTTGTGATAGCTCAATTTTGACACCGGATTTGTGATCAGGAGGCAAAGATACTACGGATTTTACGGATACTATGTCGCATGAAAAGTACAGACAACTTTTTTTTTTGTTTGGCTGTGTAATTATCTAAATTTTAATTCAAATCATCATAAAGAAAGGTGTAGTTAAATGTTTATGTGATAGAGCCAAATTGATTTCCTCTAAAGATGAAATTTTTGATGAGTTAAAATTCATAAAGAATGTATTAATAAAACCAATACCCTGAGAATTTTGTTGAAACAGTCTTTAGGAATATTGAAAATAAAACAAATTCTGTCAGACAGCAACAGGACATTACATCCACAATAAAAATTCCATATACAGGTTCGGAAAGTCCCCATGTCATAGAAATCCGTGCTAAGACAAGGATGGTTACATTGAAGACGTTTTATAATCTGAATAGTCACTCCCACTTCTAACCCGAAACGGGCGGTGACTATTCAGATTATGTAACATCTTCTCTATATCCATCATTGTCTATCGCACGGATTTCTTTATATTGCAAAAATAATACTGAAAGTTGATAATGGTAATGATAAACCAAGCACCGTGTCATTTCTGATTTTACAACATCTGAAAATAATATAATTATTAATGAAAACGTGATGGACTGCTTTGAAAAGAAGGGTAGTGGCAGTGTCAGTGGTTTATTTAATTTTAATACTTGTTCAAACTGTGGATCAAAGTGGATAAATAAAAAATATTGTAAATATTGTAAAACTTGATTAGCACCTTTATAAAATTGTCAAATTTAGTTCCTAGGATTAAAAATTTAATACTTTTGTTATTAAGATACCATTTTCTTATCAGAAAGGAAAAGTTTTGTGATGGTTGGAAAAAAATATAATATCTAACCACAAAACAACTCTAGTTATGGAAACAGACAAAAGCAAATAAATTTAAACTGTCAAAGCTATTAAAAGTTAAAAAAAGTTCAGAAGAACAGTGAATTTCCGAAACGTTAACGACCTTTCTAAAGTGCGCGATATCTAGTGATGTGTTTTTGTATTTTATATTTGTTTGCTTTTTCAGTGTGAGAATTTTTGGTTATGCAAAACTAAATCTCTTCATAAAAATAACCATTGACTGGTCCATTTGGCGCAAGGGTTTATTTCATTAATTTTTTAAAAATTTCTTTCACAGCTGGCAAAATACCTAAACAATAAAGAAAAAAAAAACGAAAATTATGCCCCAAATAACTAAATTCAGACAATATCTTAATTACTTTGCAAGGCCGTTTTAATTGTTCACTATTCGATCTAGCTGACATCGTTTCTAATATTGATACATTTGGTGTAAAAATTGCAACTGGATTATTGCAGAATACTATTACATATTTGTCTTTATGTCACCAAAGAACTTAACGCAAGATTTTGGTGTATTTAATCTAATTATTCCTTAGTCCAACAGAGAGAAATGATAGAAAATTAAATAATGTTCAAGAATTTCATAGCTTTCAGCAATACAGCTAGGTTAACAATAACAACAATAATGTTTTAGATCTTGTTTTTAGTTTAAATGCTTTTACATTTTTTTTATTTCAAAATATTCAGAAAATTATACTGAATCACTTTTGATGCGATTTTTTTCTTCTCATGCCGTATTTCATTGAGTTAAAATTGATTGCATTAATTTAAGTTGATATGATGATTGAAGTGAATCTTCATGCATTTTCTACCGCATCGCTATACGATTTGTCGATCCTTTTTTCAGAAGTTCTCAAGCCAGTTTTTTTTTCAAAACTACATTTTTTTTATAAAAAAAATAATCTTGAATTTTATTAACATTTTTTTTCGGCATTTGATGAAGTGAAATTGTGAAAAAAATAAACTAAAAAAAAAAAATTGTTTTTAAATTTTGAATTGTTTTGTATCGTTATTGATGAGAATTTAATGCGAAATTGTGAGAAAAATAAGTAACGCAATATTTTTTTATCTTAATCATGATTGATGTTTAATGAGCAATAAACCAACTCCTTTAATTTTTTATACCTAACACCTAAATAGGGGAAAGGGCCCTAAGATGACGAAGTAGGTAAGGTGACGAATTGCACATTGCTACTAAATTAAACGTTTTAAAATCGAGAAACCGCCGCGCTTCACCCTTACGGACTTGCGCAGTATGGTAGCTTCGAAATCTCGGCGGCAAAGTGGCGCAGTTTGAGGTTAGACGCTGATAAGTGATATGGTGCGTGATGTTATAATTTCTGGGGTAACCGAAATAAGGAATAAATTTTGACTGGTGAGTATTAAACCGTTGTTCAGAGGTCTTGAGTTTCTGGAAAAGGGTCTTCTAAATATATTGTGGTCAAATACTACTGGCTTGCATGTCCTTTTATAAATATTTTACAAAAGTTTACGAATGTCGTTTGGAGGTAAGTTGACGAACAACAAAGTGACTAAGATGACGAACTTCGTCATCTTACCCCAACACTCGAAACAAATACTTTAATTAATCAAATATTGTTTGGTGGTCTAGGTTATAAGATGGGTCGAGTTTATGCTCGGAAAACTGCCAGACAAACATGGAGCAAAGAAAGTATGGAGAATGCTATAAACGAAATACAAAACAATGATGTGTCCGTTAATGCCACTGCAAAAAAATATAATCTTCCAGAGCCAACACTTCGCAGATATTTAAGAAATTATCCTGATAAGGTAAAATTGGTTGACTGTTGCATAGTTATATTTTAACGCGCATAGTTATATTTTAACGCAATTTTTGTGACTTTTAGGTTTTTCCATCGAATGCCGGACGATATAAGCAAACGACATTCGACATTTTATAGAATGGTTTATGAAGAAATTTAAAGTTTCTCTTAGAACTCCTGAGTCGACGTCAATAGCTAGACTTATGCGTTTTAATAAAGAAAGTGTCTCCCAGTTTTTTAATGTCCTTCGTGAAACAAGAGAAAAATATTCGTTTCAATCGAACCAAATTTATAATGTTGACGAAACGGGTGTTTCAACCGTAGCAACCAAAAATCCTAAAATCTTAACTCCAACAGGAAAACGTAGGGTTATCAAAATTTCATCTGCTGAACGAGGAACCAATGTTACTGCTGTCTGCAGTATGAATGCAAGCGGGAACTTTGTGCCTCCTTTTTTAATTTTCCCGAGAATTAGAATGCAACCAGCTTATATGAAGAACGCCCCCAGTGATTTTGTCGGTGTGGCTCATGAATCCGGCTGGATGACTTCTGATAACTTCATTAAATACTTAGAACACTTCATTCGATACACAAGGCCTAGCGAGGACAGCAGGATTCTGTTACTTATGGACAACAATGCAAGTCACCTTACTTTGGAAGCGGTAAATTTATGTAGAGAGAATTTCATTACATTAGTTGGATTTCCACCACACACTAGCCACCGTCTACAGCCCCTAGATGTGTCGCTATATGGTCCATTAAAGACCGTTTACAGTAGAGCGTGTGAAAATTTTCTTGTTAATAACCCTGGAAAAATAATTACGCTGCATGATATTGCATTTATTTTTAGTAAAGCCTATTTAAAAGTTGCTTCAGTAGCCAATGCAAAAAGCGGATTTCGCGCAACTGGTATCGAACCATTCGATCCCGATATATTTACAGCCTTAGATTTTGTAACAGCGAAAACAACTGAAATAGAACAGAATACAGCAGATAAACATTTAGAAGCATCTTTAAATGTGGAAACAAAAACTCAAGAACAACGTCTAAAGGAAAACGAAGCAGGCATATCCACGCCAATGAAAACGCAACCCATTGCCTCAACTTCAAAATCAACTAGTCCTAAAGAAGTGTTTGGTCTTCCACCCTTGCCTCGGGGTAGTCAAAAAAACCGTCGTCCAAGAAAAAAATTACCTTCATTGGTAATTTCAAGCACCCCAGTTAAGAACGCATTACAAGCAAAAAATGATGAGAAAATTGAAAAAGAAAGAAAGAAAAAACTTCGAGAACAGGCTAAGATAGATAAAAAGAAATGTAAGCTAGGCATAGATAAGGCAGAGACAAAAATAACACGAAAAGTAAATAATATTAAACGCAAAGTATTTAGTTAATCTGATTCAGAAACCTCAGCAGAAACAGCCTATGCTGACACTGACGATGATATGGATTTGGAATTCGAAGAAGATGATAAGCTGTGCATAATCTGCAGTGATATGGGTAAGGATAATGAACTTTGGTTCCAATGCTCAAAATGTCGGGGCTGGGCGCATTCACAATGTACCACTTTGAATCCTAAAGAAACTAAAGCTAAAACATGAATTTGTGACTTTTGTGCATAATTATTTAAATAACTGGAGTAAATGTTTTATTTCGTTTTGTTTTGTTAATTGTTATTATTAGATTTTCTTTTATAAAGCTAATTAGCGTGTTATATTCCTGTTTTGTATATTTTGAGTATATTATCCTTAATAAATATATTTTCAAACTTTGGTTCTAAGACTTTTTGTAATTTAAAATATTAGTCAACTTACCCACAGCAATTCGTCAACTTATCAGCAGTAGGTGGCAAGATGACGAACTGGTTGTTCATTTTTAAAATGCATTTTCTTATGTTAAAATATATATATTTTTAAATGTTTTCTTGTCAACCGTTTTAATTATGTTATAAATTAAAGTTTAAATGCAATGCATGCCTACTTTTTCATAAATAACAATTTTGCGACCCAAAAAGCCTTAGATTCGTCAACTTACCTCCCTTTCCCCTACCTAAAAAAAGGTGACTGTTCACTCTGTAGCCGATATCTCAATGAGAAATAATTTTACAGAAAATAAAAAAAACAAATTGAAGCTGTGGAATCAAGCTAAATGATCCTGGTATTGATTAGCCAGGAAAATTTTTCTGAGCCCATGAGCAGTTTTGAAAAAAAAAGCAAAATTTGTAAAATTTCTGCCTTGCATTATTTCTTTTGATTGTGCCGAGTGATGCTCAAAAAAATATTTCATATCAAGATTTCAAAACTAGAATCTCCAAGCTTCTTTTTTTTCTCCATATGACCAGCATTCACCTTTCAAAAATCACTAAAAAAAATTTTTTGCTTCATTAATTTTTGTGCTGAGTATAGAATACGTAACTGGGTAGCTCGTTTAGTTTGAGCATTATTTAGCTGACAAAGTATACAATTCCATTTCGTTTGTTTTATTTTTTTTGATCCTGTAATTGGGTTTGCCTGTTGGAACAATAAATTACGCCAGAATTATCGAATTGATACCTGCTTGTCAATACAGTTGCTTGAAAATTAAAAAACAAAACAAAAATAGATTTATAAATTCCATCAAACGACGCGGTGATGCCAAATGAAATATTTTGTGTCTGTATATTACTATAGCTAATTTTTTTTTCTCTGTGCTTGTGTGACGACGATTTATCAATCCATTCCTTAGCCAAGATGTACTGTGGCCGCATTTTACAAAGTGTCAGCCGTCTCTGAAGTGGGCGGGCGAGAGATGGGAAACGGAGAGAAGGGAGAAACCTAAAATTGCCCCATTAGATTCCTGGCGGAGTGTGTTTAAACGCATCTATTCTATATATCTTAATGGATTCCGGGAAGATTTAACTGCTTTTATTCAGTGAAAATTCCGCTGTAACCCCCGGAATTATGATGGGCATTTATTCCGGCTTCTTTCGGCCGGAGCTGAAGAATTATACGTATTAAATTTAAGGGCATGGCCTCTGTGGTCAGAGTGTGACCGTGAATGACAAAAAATGTAATCTCTTCGAGTTATGAGCTTGATAATGGGACCCGGAGAGTTAACTTGCATTATTAATCTTTATAATGTTCCTAATTCTGTTTTATTCTTGGCGGAAGGTTATCGGAATGTTTTAAGCAATTTTTGGACCGCTCCTCGACTGAATTATGAATTTAAGCGGACGTAACTAGAATTAAAACTTATCTCTTTTAATTTAAATCTGCCTGCAGATTTAGATCAACTTTTAACTTACTATTTGAGAAAAAGATTTAATTTATTTTCTGTTCGGGTATTTTATCACTTTTGAAATCTGAACGAAATTATTTTTACCTAATAAAAAAATTCACATTCAAAGAAAAAAATATATAATACATAAAAAATATGCATCACGTTTTAAGATATTTTAAATTTCTAAATTCAGTATAAACTATCATATTGTTTGAATATAGTTGCTATAACTTTGAGAATGAAAGTAGATTGGCTTTCATGAAGTGAAATGATACGTATTTTTCATATTTTATTTATTTGGTTTGGTTAAATTCATTTTTAAATTCTTTATGAGGTAGCAAAATACTATAATAAAAAAAAATCAGAAATTTGGCCAAAAATAAATGTTTGAACCTTCAAAAGGTATATTATCTAATCGGGTATAGCATTAAAATATATGTATTAACTACATATAGCTTTTTTTTTTGAATTTCGAATTGGTGGATTCCAGTATCACATTATCGAATCTCAAAATGGAAGTACAATGATTGAACAATGACTTACATAAATAAGGGTTTTCGTGATTTCCATTTGATATAACAGTCGAATTATCTGCAATACATGAGATAATGATATATTATCGGAAACTATACAAATATTATATCAACTTAATTGTAAATTGTGTATGTTTCAAATTAATTTTTCTATCATAAAAGATACTATTTGCTAAGAAGCAACAAGTCAGTTTTGAAATATTTTGGAACGAAATTGAACAATGGAACAAAATGCTTGAATATAACAGTATACATGATATTCTTGTACTTTATTAGAATAACCTATATGCGATTATCAATTTAAATATGTCTAAAACATAATATGGCAAACGTCTAACCTACCTTTAAATAAATGTGCTATACGATTTTTTTGTAAAATTTTTATGCAGGAACAATTTTAAAGGAAATATTTAAGGTAACATTTTTTTTTTCATTTTAATTAGAAACATTAAAAAATATCATACTAAAACTACACTCCAATTAAATACATGGCAACATAAAAAAATGAATTAGTCACGCGAAAAATTCTGTTTGTTTTTGGAAAATTTTTATAATGATCTAATCAAATATAAATTTTTAAATTAATTCTTATTTAAGCTTGAAAAACAGCATATTGGATCCGCCGTTTTTGTATTGATAAACAAGATTCAACAATATACAGCAGCCTCGAGGATCCTTAAGCCTTGTTTAGGTAAATTCAACCCTCGCATGGATTTCCTTTGAACTGAAAAATGTATGCCTATTATGGGCGCCATATTGGATCCGCTATTTACTCTGGAAAATCAGACGATGGATCTAAAGGGGCCCCCAGTGAGTTTTTTCAAGTTAAAATGAATGATTCTGAGATCGTTCGTATCGACTTCTTAATACTGTCTACGATTTTGTACCCTTACGGACGCTATGTTGTATCCACCATTTGCTCTAGAATATTACTCAGAATCCACGTAAACATCTGATAAGGCTTTTTTGGGTAAATTTAATTGCTGCGTGATATTTAGTACTGATTTTTAGTGAATTTTACTGGCCTTTGGGCGTTATAGGCGCCATATTGAATCCGCTAATTCGAAATTCGCAAAAGAAACTATAGTTACTTTAAAAGCAAATCTGTAATACTTCAAATACTGTAATATGTTTGCAAGTTCTGAGTTCGTCTTCCCTTTATTTGCTTAAGCTCTTCTTCGTCTTCTTCTCAACAAACTTCTTTCTTCTTATTTGGGCGCCAGCTCATGTGAGCATATAATATTTATAATTTAATTCAAATCTGGTATGCTAAATTCTAAAGAAAGTCTTCGTTCAACTTTTTTTTAAACAGTATGAAATTTTTAACCATGAACAATCTTACCTCAAGGTGAGGTTCTGAGAAAGGCTGTTTAATATTGAAAATTTTATATTAATCAATGACAGGGCAATTGATATTAAAAAAGCACTTGTATTTAAATTTAACTTAACCAAAATTACTGTATTCATCAGAGGAGAATGATTTCAATTTAATTTTAATTTATCATCTACTGTAGTTTAAAGAAAATAAAAGATATTTTATGTGACTAGCTGACAATATGTTTTATTCGTTAAATTTATTATTACACTTCTGCGATCAGAAGTAAACCTTATTCTACCCTACTATATCTTACGCCAATTCTTATGCTAAATACTAAAATAAGTAACAATATTGAAATGACGGATATTCCGTACTAAATTAAATACAGGTATGTTTATTTCTAGTTTTGTACAAGTTTGTATGTAATCTGTCCTAGGCACAAAGCTTCGTATTCTATTTGTTTCTGATACACTTTGCGTTCCACTATGCACCCCCTATTCGTTTCAATGTTCCCTGCTTGGACTCTGTCATATGTTTCCATGTACTGTATTTCTTTTCTGCTGTTCTATACCTCCTATTCTCAATGGCAAATCGTGTGATTTTGGTTTTTCCACAAGCTTGGTTTATTTTCTATATCAGGATGGTATTTTGTGTTTTCGTTAGTTAAGACTTGTGCTTCTCTATTCCGGGAAAATCGATCAAATGGTATAGCTAATTATTTTCATGCATTCTCTGCTATAGGTAGGTTTTTTTTCTTAATACTTTACTCTTGACTATATTTCGACAATGACTTTTTCTTCTAAATTTCATAAAATTCTACTTTCTTATTCTCGTTGACTTTTTTTTCTGTCTTGTGGTAACCCAACACTTCTTTTTCCTATCCCACTATGTTTATCATCACATTAATTCTAGTAATACACAATATTTACCAATCACAAGTTTAAATTTTGAATATAATTTAGTACATGATTTTTTATTAAAATTTTGTTTTATTGTTTTATCTGTCATATTCTAAATTTAATTTTATTTTAAGTACTATTTCAATTTCGAATGTCTCCTTCACTCCCATTGGTTGACTTCTGTCAAAACACATACTATTTTGGGTAAACAAACTTATATTTTATTTAAAATTGATTTTTATATTTTTTTAACCTGCCTTTCCCATTCGCTTTTCGAAAGGAGCATTCCTAACAAATCTTTTCCATTGTCCTTGTCCATTGTCCTTGTCCATTTCCTTGTCCATTTCCTTGTCCATTGTCCATTGGCCATTGTCCTTGTCCATTGTCCTTGATCATTGGCCTTACCCATTGTCCTTGCCCATTGTCCATTGCCCTTGTCTATTGCCCTTGTCCATTGTTCTTGTTCATTGTCCTTGTCCATTGTCCTTGTAGATTGTCCATTGTCCTTGTCCATTGTACTTGTCCATGTCCTTTGTCCTTGTCCATTGTCCTTGTCCGGTGTCGTTGTCCAGTGACCTCGTCCAGTGTCCTTG